ATTATTATTTGTATTAAATTATTCTTTTATTTTTATTTTTCTATTGGACTAATCCAAAGTCTGTAAGCTAGTCTAACCTAATTTTATTTAACTTATTGGATTACGCAAGTCTAATTATATTTAGGTCATTTTTATTAAGGCCCAGCTTGACTCGATTATTGGACTGGTGGCCCATCATGTAAGACTTAATCTAATTACCTATAGTTCGTTTCCTATAGATAAGAAAAATAATTGGTGAAATATTTAATAAAAAAGATAATAAATTTAAAATACACATTATTATTAAGTGATGGAGGAAGATAATAAGTTTCAATGGTGTAATTATTAAGTATTTGACTTTTTTGCCTTCATTAATTGATTATTACAAATTTATTTATTGTACATATGAATGTTAAACTTTAAAAACAAAAACATCATATTGAAAAAATCTTTGATCATATTTTATTCTTTCCTTCTATAATCGTAAGTCTTTTAGAAAAAATTTATTTCTATTTAATTATCGTTCTAAAAGTTCAAAATGACATTAATTACTTTTTTTATATAAATTATATATTTATATCTTACTTAACTTTAATTTTAATTATATTTACACATTGATAACGAATACACATTTATCAGGGAGCCAAATGAAAGACGTATATAAGAAAATCTCAAAATTATTTTATAAAAAATTAAAAATATTATTATGTCTCTTGATTTATGTAAAATAATTTTAAAATGATTATGAAAAAAGAATAAAGATAACATAAAGTAAGAAAATTTTGCTATACATTTTCCCACTAAAACTAAGAAAATTTTAGACTATTTATTTTTTTGTCATGTTTTTTACATAGATAAAAAAAAATTTAATTGGTGAAACATTTAATAGATAAATAATAAATTTTAAATACACATTTATTATTAAGTATCGAGGAACATATCAGTTTTAATGGTGAAATTAATGAGTATTCAATTTTTTTATTCATTAATTGATTATTAATTATAAATTTATTTATTATACATACGAATTTTAATTTTTTTTAAAAAAATATCATATTGAAAAATTTGTTTATTTAGTTGTTTAAAAATTCAAAATGAAATTAATTTTTTATTATTAATTATATACTTACATCTTATCAAAATTTTAATTATATTTACACATTAATAAATAATACACATTTATTAGGAAGTCAAATGAAAGAGAGTATAATAGAAAATATTAAAATCATTTTATAAAAAAGAAGATAATTTATTATGTCTCTTGATTTGTGTAAAATAAATTTATCAACTATTAAAAAATAATAAAGATGGTATAAAGTAAGAAAAATTTGCTATACCTTTTCCCGCTAAAAGTAAAGACATTTTGGATAATTTAGTTTTTGGCATTTTTTTTTCATTTATTCAATAAATTATATTAATTACTGAAATATTTAATGCAAGTGAGATTTAAATGCACATTTATTATTATATATTAGATGAAGGATAGTGGGTTTTAATAGTGTCATTAATGAGTCTTTTTAATTAATGCATTCATTAATTGATTATCACATTCATTTATTATATTTATTTATAAATTTTATTTTTTAAAATATCAAATTTTAAATTAAAGGTTTAAATGTTTTATATTTTTTTATTATAACTTAATTATATTTTAAGTGTCATAATGGGTTGACATATGGTTCACGATCCGATCTAAGTTTGCTTTTTTGTGACAAGTTTGACACCTTCTACAACTATTAAAATTCTATTTTGGTAGATATATTTACTCAAGAAAGTTTCTTGATGCTATAGGCAAAATTCCTCTAGTAAGATTCTAGTAACCCTAGTTCAGTAAGTAAAGTCCCAAATGAAATTGGACAATATTAAGCTTCAGTGAACTAACTAAGTGGATGGTAATATTTGGTTCAAAAATCCTCAACATACCATTGACTTCATACCAAAAAATCATGGGATGTCATCCCTTATCTATCATTTATGTGTGTATAGAGAATAGATCCATTTACTTCAAAAGTAATTATACTAATACTTACTTTAGTCAATAACTTATACTTTATATCAAATTTTAATAATCTAACCGTTGAATTAAATTTTTTAATACATATATCAAGTTTGCAATTTTTTTTTAAATTGAAGACTATTTGATTATTCGTTTCATTAATTTAAATCAACATATAAAATATTTTTATGATTATCCATCAATTTGAATTAATGAGACATATTATCAAATATTTTAAAAATTTGCTGACTTGATTTATTCATTAAAATTTTTTAATTCAATGATTCAATCATTAAAATTTGATGTAGAATATGAGTTATTGAGTCAAGTAAGTCTAAGTAGACTTACCCTTGAAATAAGTAGATTCCTCCTCTTATATATAATCAACAAATTTTTTAAATATTTAAAAATAGTTTGATACTTCATTTCATTAATTCAAATCAACGTATAAAAAAATTATATGATACCTGTCAATTTAAATTAATGAAACATAATATCAAATAGTTTTCAAAATTTATTAAAAATTTGCACACATGATCTATACATGAATAACTTTTAATTTCATGATTGAATTATTTAAATTTGATATAAAACATGAGTTATTGAATGAAGTAAACTCATTTTTGGAGTAAGTATATATATATATATAT